AGCGGTAGTATGGTGGCCGAGAATGGAGAGGGTGGGGGCCAAAAACCTGTTAAAAAGCCTACAGGGTAGTTATCTGAGGGCTGTGACAGGGACCATGAGAACCACCCCGACGGAGGCGCTGGAAATAGCTCTCTGCTACTCACCTCTCGGTCAGCTGATAAAATATCAAGCCAGGAGAACGGCTTATAGACTTAGATGTCAGGGGGAATGGAAAGATACCTGTCTAGGACACACTAGACTGGGACTTTCTCAGAAGTACCCCTTCATGTTAAAACAGGATAGAATTCCAAGAAAACATCAGTTGGGGAAGAAATTTAAAGTTTTAATACCAACTAGGGACGACTGGAACAATTCTAAATTACTAGCTGATCCAAAAGTGGATCTTTGGTTCACAGACGGATCGGGTGCAAATGGTCGGTATGGGGTAGGAATCTATAGGCCGAAAAGAAACCATAGAAAAAGCATACCTCTGGGCGGGCTGGCCACGGTCTTTCAAGCCGAGGTGATGGCCATCCTGAGGTGTGCGGAAATTCTTGTTGTAAACGATAGTGCAAACCAGCACTTTTACATATACTCTGATAGCAGAGCGGCCATACATGCCCTTGCAAAGACCACTACAGAATCGGCTGTAGTTTGGGACTGCATGCAGGCATTAGCTAGACTGAGGGAATCTAACAAGATAACTCTAGTATGGGTCTCAGGACATCAGGGATTTCTCGGGAACGAGATAGCCGGCGAGTTGGCCAAGCTGGGGACCCAAATGGACCCAGCCACGCAGATCGTTAGAATACTTTTTGTAACGGGAATCAACATCATCAGAGGATGGCTTGAGCGAGAGCACGTTGGCTTCTGGAGAACGATGGGGGGGCTGCCGGACAGCTAAACGGCTAATGGAGCAACCATCGCCGGGGAGAGCCGACGAGCTCCTGACCATAAACAGACTAAGGCTGAAGGTGGGATTGGGTCTTCTCACGGGACACATCACACTGAGGAGCCATCTAAACAAACTTGGGTTTACGGAACAAAACGACTGCCGCCTATGTGGTGAGGAAAGAGAGGACAGAGCCCACATTTTATGTCGGTGTCCTGTACTCATATGTAAAAGGTATAGATCCTGGGGCTGCATGTTCATGGAGCCTGAGGATCTAAACGAAAAAAGGATTAGCAGCTTGATTAACCTGGCGTCAGATACTAGGCTGGGCTTATTAGCGCAATCCTAAAAAATAGCAGGAGATCACAATGGAACTTTTAGATCTAGGTGACGCAAGAGCATCAAAGTGCCCACCTGCTCCACTACTACTACTACTACTACTACTAATGTATTACTTGCAACAGGCATGCAGATTACTTTTTTTAAATAATTACTTACTATGTTAAATTTAAAGAATTACTTACTATG